TTTGTCTTTCTTATCCTTCTTGCTCAAATCCCTTTCCTTCTTGCTCAAATCCTTTTCCTTTTCCTTGTCCTTGTCTTTTTTCATTAAGTGAAACATGATTAAACTATTCTGTAGTTATTTAGCAACTGATTAATTTATCATGAGAACCTTAAATTATTAGAAAAGAGTCTGATGACAGTAGCTGAAAACATCAACTCTGGGTTTGGATCTCTCTTAGTGATATCTGTAGAGAAAAGAAACAAGAGGTGAACACAGACTAGCTTTGATGAAAGCGTAACAGAGTGCAAGAATCTTGTGTTTGTCAGAGTTTAACTAAGTAATTAGCAAAAAGATTCAGTCAGTAATTAATCATAAGTACTATGACATACACATGACTAGCACATTTGTGAAAGCACAGATAATGCTGAATGGTAGAAAGGCATATACAGAAAGGCTGAAAGTCTGGTGGTGCTGTGGTTTGTACTCATGCCTAAGAGCAAGAAGTTCCTGGGTTCAAATCCACACTTTCTGTGTAGAGTTTTATCTGTAGGTGTGACTGTGAATGGCTGTCTGGCTCTGTGTTAGTTCTGTAATACATTAACAACCCCACAGTGGACGACTCAATGGATGGATGTACGTACAGCTGTAAGTGTCAGGGAAGGCTTTCTTTACTTCAACAAGACAATCACAAGCCCAATTCTGCAGACATTACAACAGCATACCTCTGTGGTAAGAGTTTAGCTGCTAAACTGGACTGGCTGCACTCCACATCTATCCAAAAACAACACCACTGAAAATATTTAACACATTATACAATGAAAAGAAAGATTCTGTACAGCTGAAGTCATATCAAACAAGATATTAAAGCTGGTCTGATCTTCTCAGTTCCTAAACCATTGCAGAAACCACAGATAAATAGGAAATGCTGTGGTCCTGACCTGACTTGTTGAATTATGTTGCTGGCATCAAATTAAAGATCACTAGATTTAATAAAAAAAATTTAAAAAAAATGAAAATAAAACATCTCAATTTTCCCAACTCATGTATTATCTTTGTACCATTTTCAGTTACAGAGTTCAAAGTTCACATGGTTTGCAAATCATGTCATTCTGTTTTTATTTACATTTCACATGACCTCTGACCTTCTTGAGAAAAACACAATCCACACTTAAAACTTGGATTTGAAGTCCCTTCTACACCTTGGGGTTAAAAACATTTTTTTTAAAAAAACGTTATCAAACTGCAGGGCAGTATCACTATTTTTATTTCAGTATCGACCTATTATCTAATTCAGTTTAATATAAAAGTAGCCTGTATATATTTGGGTGTGTATAGGAACTGGTATCCCCCACTGTAGTATCAACAAACGGAACATGCACCCTAGATAAGGAATTTGATCTTATCTAAAACTTATCTTTGACATACCTCAATCTACCCTACATAATAACATACAGTGTTTTAAAGAGCGTAGCCTTCCTGCTCTCAGATACTCAGCATCATCACTAAATGATTGAAAACTGAAGCTATGTACATGGGAGCCTCCACTAAGCTCCATATGTATAGCGAGAAGCCATGCTGAACAGTAAACTGTAAATTCAAACCTAATCCACGCTAAATCACATGCTCTTAGAAGAAAGCTATGAAATGTCCGAAAGCAACTCAGTTTATCTTACAGTTAACATTTAGGTATTTTCGTCATATTTTATTACTGGAAAGCGCAGTTTGGTCTGTTGTTATTAGTTTTTCGTTTTCTTGAACTTTAAACACTACGCATAGGTTGTCGACACGGCTAGTCCTGAGCTTGGCCATAATGCTCTCCCTTTAAGCTGCTTTGCCCTCATTCTTTAGCAGTGATAAAGAGTGTATTAATGTCACTCACGATAAACGATACAAATTAAGTAATACTGTAACATATGACAATTACCTACCTGTAATTGCCTAAACATGACAGCGTTGTAGTCTTACTACAGGTTTTCGGCATTTTCCAATGAACTGTCAGCAGGTGCGACAAATGCTTTTGTGATGCTTTCAAATGCTTGCAGTAAGCTCCGACTTCTGATTACTTTGACATAAGCGACCTGCGGGGAAGCAGCTATCCTCGTAAAGAAATAAACGAAAATGGTGTCGTACATCAGATGATTAATTCCTTTCCCCCCAAACAGCTCAATAGTTTTAATAAATCTAAGTAGTCTCCTCATTACACTTTAAAATATATATTATAAAGAGGGAAAGCTGAAAAACAACCTCTCTCTTAATGGTCTAAATTGGAAACATAGGGGAATTAGTCCTCAATGATAGTAGGACGATTTAGATGTCCAAAATGTAGGCTAACGCTCTAAATTTTAATAAATCCAACAGCACATGAAAGCTCCGGAAGACTACACTGGACAGCAGTGACCCCTCCTGGTCTTTATTTTCACCATACAAAGGATGTAAGCACAGATATTTAGTTCCAAGCTGCCCAGTTTTTCGTAGAGAAAAACTTTGATATTGTTAACATGTTGATTTCACATTGGATAACACATAAAGTGTTTTGCAGCTAATGAATTACAGTCCAGTGACATTGGAGTTACAGTCACTGGCATACAGACTTTAAACCCAAACAGAATCTGAGTTGTGGTGAATGGTTATTTTAAACATTATTTACCTATTTATATGGAATTCTTTAGGATAATTCCTCCTACAACAATGATGAGTTGATTACAGCATATGTTAGAACTCAATTTGCAAAATCAATTGCATAAAATGTTCCACCTCATTTGCATCGTTTCTTTCTTCTCCCAGCAGTGTCAATATACATATACATAATGAACTCCAGATCATCCCATATGTTTTGCTTGTTAATGCTCATTACACTTAGGAAGCTGCAATTCTGAGGAGAGAGCCACAATCTGAAATGTATTACCTTAATAGTTTACTCACACTGATCCATTCATTTTAGAAAAAATCATTTTAGACATTTACAACATGCCAAACTTGATTTTCTTTCCGTTTTTTTTTTTTTTTAATTACTCTTACTATTTTGATGAAAATATGCATTTACATTTTGGCAAATTCTGGTTTGTCTGAATTTATCCATGGAGTGCCCCCGTGTCTCAAATGAGACACTTACTGACAGTGAACATAAAGTTTTGTTTCCAGCTGAAGTTCATTGTTGGACACTTTTGCTTCATTGGAACTGGATTAGGGAGATATGAATACCTCCAACTAAAACATTGTTTGGACTGTATGAGATTCAAAACTTTCAATATGCAGTTGGAAAAAACTGACAATAGATTACAATGGGGCTCCTTCATTGAACAGTCATTCAGTGATAAGCAGAGTTTCAAGAATGCACTAGAAGGAGTGTGTACAATACTGATTCATGCACAGATCTGTATCCACGTTAACCTTAAGAACAAGCCTCATTCTCTGGAAGACATTATTACTTTGCTCTTCCATCCATCCATCCACCTTCCACTGCCCAATTCAGCATCACGAGGGTTTTAGAGTCTGTCCCTGTGATCACAGGGTGAGAGACAGGGCACACCCTGAACAGGTTGCCAATTTTTTGTAATACATTTCTTCCTAAATCTCAAAATGAAAAGTGAAAAATCCCCACAGTGTCCAGTTATTATTTTCCCAATGTTCATTAGAAAGGTTTTAAGAATGAACTACAATACTTTTTGAACTTTTGAACAGCATTACCAGTCAGTCTGAATATTATTTAACTTGTATGAACAATGAAATTATAAATCTAACAGGGAACATGGAATTGTTGAAGTAGTAAGACCTCCTGTTGCTTATTAAGGTTTTGTAGCATCACCTACTGGTCTTGCAGAGTCTATGTACCTTTTTTTTTTAGTCGTGTATGGTTTACCATATATTTTTCACCTATACTGTCTGTCTCTATCTATGAGGACTTCTTGGTCAGTTTCAGTGGAGAATGTTAATGAATTATTCATTTCCAAAGAAAAATGTCATATCAACCTTTTCTTATCACCTGACTAAGATTAAGGAATGAAACCTATCTGACTCACACCACCATACACAATACAAGGAAACTATGACTCATTCCCTGTCAGTTACCACTGAGTCCCTAACATATTACCATTCCTTATACAGTTGGATGGTGAATGACAATTGACATTTGGATGACAGTTAAGGATTACACTGCATTGTGCGCGTGCGTGTGTATGTGTGAATTGTAAATAAAGGATGAAAGCCCTTTTTTGGAAAGTGACAATTTTCATTTTCCAAGAGCTTATATAAAAATGTTGTTTTTGTTTAATGTACAAGTCATCTCACGCAAAAAACAGCATCTACAGGACTTTATCTATTCAGAAGCATATCTGAGGCTTGCATCATTACCTCGAGGTTGTGGTAAATACTAATTGTCAAATTCTGCAGGTAATGATGAAAGATAGAACTAGAATCACTTTGAACCCAAGTGTACATGACGTAAAAAGTACATTTAGGATATTATGGCTCTGCCTTTTCATTCATCCCTATTACATGAATGAAAATAAACTCGCACTCAAATTACTTCTCTAAAATGAAACACTTGGCACAGTGGGAAAGACGACCGCCCAACTATTTGTAATGCAGAACAACACGCTAGCATCTTTTTTTTCCCTTTTAAAAAGGACGAAACGTTACTGAAACGCAATCATTTCCCAGCCACATGCGACAATCTAATATAACAAATTCCCCTCACAGCATCAGCAAAAACCATCTAGGGGGGTGTTTTAAAAATCCAACGCCACCAGATTGCTATCGTAATAACACGGGAACAATTCATACAATCTCTTGTGAATTTGAATTCAACATACATCGTAAGTTGCTATTCTTGTTGGTGATTAATTTATATTTCACGAGTTACGCGTACAAATTCATTTCAAAATACGAAATTTAATGAACCCCGCCAAATCCTGCGCAAAGTGGTTCAGCCCTTGAGGTCACCGGAAGTTGTTTAGCTGCCATGTTTGGTTGCTTTGTTGTAGGCTTCTACTAGGTTTCCTACAGAATTAGTAAGTGTGGAAATGGAGCCGAGCTGGAGTACGTTTCTTTTTCAAGTAAGTTGTCTCTTTTGGAGGGAAACCGGAATAGTCGGTAAAACAACCGTAGAATTGCAAACGGCTTCATATCTTAGTGGTAAATCCAGTTTTTAAACGATTAATGTCAAGAACAAGTAACCAAGCAAAACAATGGTATATGAATCCAGGCTTCCAGCTGTGAGGCTTGGGAATGACGCTAGAACAAAAAATCTAATCTCTACAAGCATTGTTTGAAAAGCGGCATGTTTTCTTACCCCGACGATATTTGGGTATTTGCGTTTAATACTTCGACAGCGTTTGTGATTCCTTGTTTTTTTAAGTTTGTTTGCCTAGCCGGAGCCAAACATGCGGGATCACTTGGAGTGAAGCAGGAGACGCCACTGCACCGTTACAATCGAGACAGACCTGTTTTCCCCCCCTTTGACTGAAGGCTTTGATCAGGCGCCGTGGGATAATGAGATGTAACGCTGCGACATGTTTCAGTGTAGCGTGGATAACAGAACACGCATTGTAGATTTGGCAAATCTCTGGTTAAGAGGTTTTTAGCTGCTGAGATTTACTAACGGCGGTTCTCAAGTCCGCGGTGAACTTTCCGCCTGCTCCAGCCGGTTCGACACTAACTAGCCAAGTAGCTAACGATGTTCGGGCTACCTTAATTACACTCGCTGGCTAATTTAGCTTAATGTGGGCGAGGCTGCCATAATGAGCTTGCAAAACTAACGTTACAAGACTTGACGACCAGCGCTGTGCAGATTCTCTGCTTATTAACTAAGCTATTTATTCTGGTGACCGTGGTGGAAAGGAATTCAAACTATGCACACAACATCAGCTAACACTAGCAGCGAAGAGGCGCATTTGAAATTAGCAACGGCGTTACGAAATGAATAAATGCGTGCTGGGAAGGAAAGCGAGTGCTGCGGTTTAGAGTGATATCTGTCACGGTTTAGTGAATTTCAATATGTGCTAAGAATGAAGGCTATTGTTCACTCTTATTTGTGAGCTTCTCAATCGCATGGCCTTACCTAGGCTACAAGAAATGAGCTCGGGAACATGGAGCAAATGAGTTTTGTAAGGATAAAGATTTCATGTTTTACAGTTGAGTCCGTTTTTGTGTAACCCCAATGCAATATAAATATATATATATTTAGTTTCCATTCCCAATACGCACCATTATTCCAGGTTTACCACTATTCTGCGGTCTCTTGTGTATTTCCAGTGCTTAAAATTAATTTTTCGCCTTGACTCAACACTTCAGTGGGTGTTGCAAAGTTCTCCTCGTGGGAGGAACTTCCCAGTAACTTCAGGATCATTCCCAAAAATTACTTTTCAGTAAACCCATCAAATCTTCATTTGTAGTGTTCATAACAACGTTATTTTATTCCAGGCTTTAATGATCAGATGAAGGTCTAGAGTTAAACCTGCTGCAGTAGTTGGTGCTGCAGCCTTTGTCTAATAGTAATATATTTTGTGTAATAAATATGTTAATGACAGCGGGGGAAAAACAGGATATTGTGTATAAGTGCACAATTTATAGTTTTCATGCTAAAGAGCCACTTCTGTTTTAAAAAGTCTTCTAAAGTGTGGAAAAAACTGATCATTAATGCTCTGATTAAGCTTTCACTGCTTGGTGTAAGGACGTCAATGGTAGCAAAGAATCTGAATTGCTCACTTTGGCAAATAGTTTAAAGAAATCCATCTTAAGTTGTGTTCATTTCACTGCTTTTTGGACACTTTTTGTTTTTTCCTGAGTTTCTGATAATTTGCTCTGCTGTCGGAGTGGTCGTTCATTCACATCTTTGTGTACTATTTCTTCATAATTGAAAAGGCAGACAGACAATGTCATTTGTCATGCAGTATCTGGCGTCTAGCCAGAGGCCCTGCGTGTATTATGTACCTCACACTGTTACTGTGTCAGTTTCATGTAAATCAGTGTGCCTTTAAATTCAGGCTCCTGGAACACTTTGAAGCATATTTTTTAAACTTTGTTTTTCATTCTTTTTCAACACATTATAGTTTGTTTTTTGTAAACAAGAAGTTTATATGAAAATTGGTGATATTTTCTGAAAAGCTTTGTCGGGTGTTTTAAATGACCAGTGTTGTTGCGTAAACATGCTTAAATATTACCAGCTGTATATCCTCCTGTCAGATAGATGCACAATGTGGGGAAAACATGTTAAAAAGAGGGGGGGGGGGGGTCCAGTGTTTGTGAGGCTACATTCAGGAAAATTGGTGAATCATGTTGCTTTCAGCACTCTGAATCTGGATATGTGAAGTGTTACACTAATAACCCTTTTAGGTAAGTGAGAAAAGTTATAACGCAATCCATGTGTGCACGAAACTCAGTTTTGGCTTTCTCCAGAAACTGCAATAGCCACTCAGAAACCCACTGTGAAAATGAATGCTTTATGGTAAGTGGAAATTGTGTAAAAGATTCTTTGTTTCTGTTTTGCCCTATTTTACCAAAACATTCAGATGGCAAATCTCAGTAACAAAATGACACTCATCAGATGATTAGACTGTACTGAAAATATTACATTTTTCAGTAATCACATTGACTTGAAATAATACCCAACTTACATGACACTGAAAGAGTGTGCATAAGCATGGTGTTAGTGAGGGATGTTATCAAGTATCACTAACCCCAAGTGTTTGTTTTGCTTAAAACTGGACCTTCATAACAAACAACCCCTTTTGAAATTGCACAATTACTGTTTATATAAAACATGTTTTGGATGCTCTTGCTAGAGCTTTAGACTTGGTAGTCACTATCATGTATTCTATTTTTTTTTATTTTTTTTTCTCTCTCCTCCAACGTGCAGAGTATTTTGCTTGTCGCTGGCCCCCTCTTGTTATTATGTTACGTATATTACTTTTTTTTTAAACAAAGGTAATATGTTACATATATTACTTATTAACTTTGTTTAAAAAAAAAAAGATAAGAAAATATTGAGGCTTGTTGGTGCCGTCGAGAATCAGTTCCATGTGTTTTACTGCTCATATGGAAGGTTCATGTTTTTACGGTACAATATAATTCTGGTCATTTTGACTGAAATGAAAAGCACAGGTCTGTAAAATGGGTTACATCAGAAATGCAGGGTATATCTGCTTGGCTATTTTTGTAGATGTTTAGGCGTTTCATAGTTTTTTGGGTACATTGTATTTTTATGGTGTTTTTAAAATGTGTCTATTTATTTTGACATGTTTTTTGTCTCAACGTCACAGCGATTGCTCATTGTAATACAGCACACCTATTAGCTACAGGGGTGTTAAATCCCACCCATTCTGGATGTTTAGAAGACTAGCCTCTGTTGAATGTCCTTAAAGGTTTGTTCACTCTTAGTAGAATTCAAATATCTGCACGAAAAAATACGCCTTAACCAAATGAACCCTGAAGTACAACTTTTATCATTAAAAAAAAATTAGGGGATTGACAACATTTCAGAAGTTTGCCCACTAAGCAAACTAGACGGCAGCCAAAAACATTCAGAACTTGAAAGAAGGACCTAGAAAAAAAACCCTCAAAAATTAGATGTACTCGAAAAACAAATTATGTAATTAGAAGTTTTGTTTCTTTCTCTGCCCCCCTTTTCATCCCTGTCATCAGTTTTTGCCTGTGATGGAAAAATTGAGATTTCGGCAAGCAGCTGTAGAGTGTGGCACAAAAGACTAAAGAAAGACAGCGCATAATCTAACTCAGACCGTGAGCGCAATTCAAGCCTACAGTGGCCCATGGAGCCATCAGGACACTCCCTCCATTTTGATGTTATTTATGAGGGAGCAGCCCCAGTTGTCAGAGCGCATTTGTGTCAAAATGGTCAGAGCTGCATGAAGGCACAGCAGCTTACAGGCCCTGCACCTCTGCATAGAGGGCCAGGCTGTCTACACTGGCTACGTCTGCTGTTCACAAGCTTCACAAAGGGGGGTTCACTGCTAGTACCCCACCTCCCCCCTCCAACCCAAACATAAAGCTCTCCCCACCCCTGGTGTGCCAGCGGACGGGTTAGCATTGGCATGATGATGACTAATCCTGGAAGGTGGCAAGTGTAAGCAGGTGCTCAGACAAATGGATGGGTGGCATTCTCCTCGAGTTCCCAGGTCCCATTGCATATGTAGGAATGACGGCTAGTTTCGCTGAGTAGTGTGTGGATAAACAATGTCCCCGTCCCATGAATAGATGAGCCAAATCAATGAAGATGAGCATACAAAGATCCCCTGCTGAGGCCCGAGTGCATCACTGCTCAGATTTGTGTCTTTCACAATAGGCTAGATGACATAAGGAGGACATTGTGAGGTTCATTTTTCTTTTCTGTCCCGTCTCCTCTTTTGCAACTTTTTTCTTGGCTAGCCTTCTTCGATGGATGATTGAACCTCAAAGAGAAAGGTCAAGTATTTCAGCTTGCTTTTCTCGCTGGTGGTTGACAACACTGACAGAGTAGTCCTGAGTGTGTCCATTCGCTGAAAAAAACGGTGTTAACTGTGTTTCTTTTTTCATATCTGGATATATGAAAAAGAATGAATTGTTATGAGAAGTGTGATAGATTTTTTTAAACTGAATTAAACTCCATTGATATTTATTGTGATGTCTTTTTTTTTTTTTTTTTTTAAAGAAAATAAGGCAGCTGGATTTCATACAGCTTCCACTATCTCCATTCTGCCCCAAGTACGCCCAAACAGTCATGGATGATTTTAGCTGGTCACAGCAATGGTACAAAACTCAAATTGTGTCTGATCCATTTAGTCAGGAAATTTGATTACTTAAATGAGTGAAAACCCAGCTTAGCATCTTGTTGCTATTGCTAATTACAACTAGCCATTTCATCCCATTTGTGCTGCGGCAGTAGCTGGCATTGTTTTGTACTTGCAGATCCCCGGGGGGGGGGTGCAAAAAAAATCTCAAAGCAGTTATTCCAGATGTAAAGTTTTATTTAGTCTGTTGCCCTTTATTTTCCTGTCGTTTAACTCCTTTACTTACACAATGGAGCAGAAGTATGGTTATCCCAAATCAGCTGGGTACCTGAGATGATGGCCTGCTCTTTATGAGCCTTCTTGGTAGTTAAACTGCACTCTGCTACGGCTCTTATTTGGTATGCCTGTTTTGCAGTCACATGATGAATGTGAGCACCGTCACGATGGTATCCTTTTTCATCCAGCACATTTGGATTCTTTTGCATTAGTGGCATGCGGCACCAGCCTCATTAATAACCTATCTAGTTCTTGTTTTGTATTCTGTAACAGATTACTAACACACTGTGTTTATTGAGTTGTCAGAGTTTCCAGTGAGGGTACACCTGGCTTCAATGCTTTTTGTTTCTTGGTCATTATTAAGGGTTTTTTGTTTTGTTTTGTTTTCTTTAGATTATGGCGATTTTTTTTTTCCTCTCGCAGTTGTTGTTGTTATTATTATTATTGTTGTTATTATTATTATTAGTATTATTATTAAATCTTTAGTATTATCTTTAGTGCCTTGTTACTTTTGTTTTATAAGTAGAAGTCTAGTATTCATCTTCATTCAACCAAAACCCTCTGTGTTTGAATCATCAGCAGGCCAATGAAGCCCTCCACCACCAGCACCAGGTGGCCCAGAACAGCCTGCTACCACTTCTCAATGCAGGAGCTGAACAAGTTGACCAGAAGCCTATCCTGCCTATCCAAATAGACCAGAAGCCACCTGCCAATGCTGCTGAGCTTCTCAAAGACAATGTCGCCAGCGGAGGTGGTCAGCGGCTTCCTGTGCCTGTGATAAAGAAAGAACACAAAGGCAAAACCCCTTTTGTCTGCGGCTACTGTAACAAGGCCTTTCGCGACAGTTACCACCTGCGACGTCATGAGTCCAGCCACACCGGTATCAAGATGGTTTCACGTCCAAAGAAGACAGCCCAAACAGCCCCCACCATGGTCCCCATGATCGGCACCATGCCACGAGAAAACAACGGCAACTCTTCCTACATCTCCACAGTAGCTGGCATCCTCTCCACAGCAACAACCTCTGTTTCCTCAGGCACAAGTATCATGACATCACCTGCAATGGGCAATGTGCCGCAGCAAAATGTCCCGAAGAAACCTGCCAAACCTGTCAAGAAGAACCATGGATGTGAGATGTGCGGCAAAGCCTTTCGCGACGTATACCACCTGAATCGTCACAAGCTGTCCCATTCAGATGAGAAGCCTTTTGAGTGTCCCATCTGCCAGCAACGCTTTAAAAGGAAGGACCGCATGACCTACCATGTTCGCTCTCACGATGGGGGTGTCCACAAGCCCTACGTATGTTCTGTGTGTGGAAAAGGCTTTTCCAGGTAAGGATCAGGTTTTTGTCCTTTGATCTGTAAGGAAACTAGTACAACAGTCATCAATAGTTCAACTCCAGCTGCTGTTAGTTTTTCCCTTCAGTTACTCACCTGTCTGTATTTGTTAATTCTACACCTAAATTGTTCAGTATGTCTCTAGTTAAAAATGAATTTTCCACATTGAGCATCTCCAATGTGAATTTGTTTTTTCCAATATCCTGCCAAACAGGTCTGTCATAGGGATTCAGACTGACACAGGAATTCCATAGGGAGATAAGATTACTGTTTTAAATTACAATCGTTTAGCTCATGAGGTGCTGGATGAAGTTTTAGTCTCTGTTAGATAATGGCATAACATTCTTTATTATACCACCATACAGATAATAGATGGTCTAAATGTCATTTTGAGATAAAAAAAAAAAAAAACCCAAACAAAAAATAATTTGCACTGATAAGAAGAACAAGAAGTCCTAAAAACATGTTATGGCCACCGAGGTCTCGAAGATGTCTGAAACAACCTTACCTTGTTGTGGCAGCTGGTTTCCCACAAGCATCCATTTTGTCAGGCTTCAAGCTTGCTTGCAGATAAAACCACAGTAGCTTGGACCCATTAGCTTGCAATAATCAACTACTGGCAGCTGCAAGTGTTTGTTGGTTCAAAACCAAAGTGAAGTCTTGCCTTTGATATGGAAAATGTCCATATGAAGATGTGAAGAATACCAACTTAGTAGTTTGCTGCTTGGGGTTTTTTGTTTGTTTGTTTTTTTTACTACAGCTGGTCTCCTAAAGCAGGAGCTGTCAGTTTATTGACAACTTTAGACAAAGAACAGCCCTCAAATATGGAGCAAGAAATGAAGTGCTTTAGGTTTTATTTACTGGAGTTTTTCAGCTAAGCTAATCGGCCTGTCCACAAACTTGACAAAGTGTTCTCCAGGGTAACTGGGAATCCCTCCTTGTTTTTGCACTAGCCACTAGTTTGTTTGGGATGAGTTTACTTAGGTTGTCTGTGGAATTGTGAAACTGAGTGCACTAAGAAGCTAGTAGCACTCCTCGTGTGTACATGTGATCAGTCCTTCAAGGGGTTTGGTAGGCAGTGAGAATGTCAGCCACACTGATAATACAGAGTGGCACAAGAAAATAGTAAACTGATGAAAAAATGGCGCTGTTTTTACAACCCTTCTGCTCTATTCCTGTGCTTTTAATCAACAACTAACAAGGCTACTATAAACAGGAAATGTGCATCTGAGAGCTAATTTATTCTTATGGGAGGGGAGACAAAAAGTAATTTCACCCTCTGGTGATTGCATTCTGGGGTCATAGGGAAAAGTCCTGACTTGTCTATGCAGAATTTCAATAAATAAATAATGATAAATACATTCTAACAACCAGTCTTTTATGAGTGTGTCCTTGGCAGTCCACAAATGGCTTCTGCTAAGGGAAAAAAAAATCGTGCTTAATAGACTGAAGTATTAAATTTTACCATCTTTCATGCATGCAGTTGGTTTTGAATGCAAATGCTAGATTCTACATATTTCATGCTTTACCAAAGGTACACTGAACTGCTACCCAACAGCTTGTACATTTGTAAGTGAATTATTCACGTCATGGTGTTTGGAATAGTCAGCCGAACTGTGATATATAGAGCAAATATATGTCAATCTAGTGTACGTGTTGCTCCAACGTGGCCTTTTTTTTTTTTTTTTAAATGTTTATTGCTGGGGTTAGCAGTTTAAACTTGTACTTGTAATGACCCTCCACGCCATTTCAACCACATGTTAAAAAAGTCGCACATGGAAGAGCACCAGTGAAGTACCAAAGGAGGGGGAGGCGTCACTTGTCACTTTGCAGTTCCCGCCAGCATGTCACAGACTCTTTCCCCTGGGAATTCACTGAACCATGCGGTAATGTTTGGGTCAACACATTTAACATGAAGTAATGACTTTAAGAAGGTTTAATAGTGACATACATTTAAAAATTTGTTAAAAGCCAAGTGTTTGTTAAACCTGATGTGTACCTAAATCAGTATTGATTTAGCAGAGAGTCGTGATAACACAAAAAAAACAAAACAGCAAGCTGTGTGCCGCAATACACAGCTTCAACAAAAACATCAGCAGTGTACCCTGGCCAAGCAGTAACATTAGCACTGTGCTGTGTAGGGCAATCTCAGGCATGCCTCCAACATGGTGACGTCGGGCAGCGATTCATCAGCATACTGGAAAGTGAGAATGAGAACTGAGTAACAGGGCATTGAGTCACTGCCACTCAGCCGGATCTGTAGACGGGCACTGTCTGGAGTCTGCTTTCCTCATCAGTGGGGCAAGGGAAAAAAAAATCTTTATTCCGGTTCATGGCACCCATGAGAAGATCTTACTTGACTCCTCTGATTTTATTTTTAAAAAAAGAAGAAAAAAAGAAAGGAATCCAGCAGCATGAAACTTTCCGGTTTGGAAGCAGCTGCCAAAGCAGTAGTTCTTGCTCACTCCATTATGGCACTTCTAACATGATTCAGCTCACAGCTTCACTAGAACTGACATGCTGACAGAGGAGGATCAGTGCCACAAAGACGTTTGTGAATGTTGGCCTTTCGCTGTAAATCTCAAGCAGTTTTCCTGTGAACTTTGCAAATTATATGTATGTTTGTTTGTTTTTATAGCTAGTTTGACATAAAAACACACTATGAAGCTTTAGTTTAAGCTTGAACACTTGGAATACAGAAGACAAGTTTCAGCAATTTCTTAATCCAGTTTTCAGTGTTTTTGTTTTTGTGGGTTTTTTTTGGGGTTTTTTGTTTTTATTGTGTAATAGACAAGGTACATCAGTACAGTCATGGTGTAAGTAAATATTAAGTGTTCTCAAATCCCCACTTAAAGTTCTATAACAAAAGGAGCAATATATATCTTCTCTATATGCTCAGTTATAATAGTTTTCCCTTAAAGGCAGTTTTTAATACCTATAAATATACACATCATATTTTGGCACAGTTACATGCTCTTATCAGAAACACAAGTCAGCACAGCCATGGATTATTGTTGTTTTTTGAACAACAGTTGTGCCATACGTGGTCTTCTTCTAATCCTCAGAGAGATGCAAATTCAGATTAGGACTTGTGTTAAGAAGTATCAAGAAAATTCCTGGAACTTCACATTCATTTCATTTTCATATATGTGTAATAACAAGGATGTTAGGAACTAAGCACAGCAATAATAATCAAACTGTCAGTTTATTCAAGTATCATGTCAAAAACGTCCTTTCTTTTCATTGTGTGTGTGTTCAAAAGTAGGTCAAACAAATTTACGCACGATTGATCATGGAGAATTAACTACCATTGACTGAATTTTTCGGGATTTTTTTTGTGCCCATCCCCTCATTATCTAAGTAAACAGAGCACATCCGTACACTTCTGCACTTGTAATGCATGTTAAGCTTTATGCTTGTGCACGTCCACGATGCGCCTTTAGTAAATTATAAACACTTGTTGTATGTATTGTAACAACATATAGGTTTGTTTAAATCACAAGCAAAATAAATGTCAAATGAATTTGGTGAAGTCTTTTAAAAGTGTTAGCAGACGTTATACAGCCCTACAACTGGTAGCCATTTTTATGTAGCTTTTTGTTGGGTTACAGAAACCATATTATAAATAAATCTCCACACAATGAAGTACAAATTGTCTCATCTATATCTAATGGAACTCAAATGTATCGTCTTTAAATTTTAACCATGTTTTTGTTGTCATTTTTATCTAGGCCAGACCACTTGAGCTGCCATGTGAAGCATGTGCATTCCTCAGAAAGACCGTTTAAATGTCAAGTAACGGTGAGAAAAATGGCTACTTTGCAGCTTGTTTTGTTTTTTTAAATCATTTTTAATATCGTGATTTCACTGCACTGACCTTTTACCCCATCTGCTGTGCGACACCAGGCCTGTACCTCTGCTTTCGCCACCAAAGACAGACTCCGTTCCCACATGATTAGACATGAAGGCAAAGTCACCTGTAGTATCTGCGGAAAGATGCTCAGCGCAGCCTACATCACCAGTCATCTGAAGACTCACGGGCAGACCAACTTTAACTCCTGTAACAAAGGTTCGTCACACACTGGGAGCAAATACAGCAGCACCATAGGGCTGTGCATTTAAAAACAATGGAAACCAATCCCTGCATATTGCCTTCGCGTTACTGTAAGCAATAAGGGATAAAGGCAGTAATATCGTACAGGCTGTGAGTTTGCCAGAGCTTCAAGTGGAAAGCATTTTTAGAAAAATGTGGTTTTTGAAACGAGCTCAAACCATCTAAGGCGTTGTCCTAAAATTTCATGCGCTTCTCTTTAGTAGCTTTTTTCAGCCTTTTTCAAGAGTGTGGACTTTTAAAAAAAAAATGTATTAAATGCCAGTCTCTTTATGTATTAGCAAGAATTATTTTGTTGGTCACCATACCACTGCAGTTGTCATAAAAGCTGTCAACCTGTACATGTTGAGCACCACTGACCAGTGCTGATCCTCGCTATTGCTGCAATATTTGTGCAAAGTGCAAGATAATGGTGTTTATTTTGTTTTTGTTTTTGCTAAATGCTGCAAAGCTAAGTAAAACGCTTGTTCTTGGGTTTCTCCAGACGGTAACGAAGTCTGCAATTCTGCCTCAGCCACACCTGTGACCATCTCTGCCCCCATCACTTCAGCGATGAACCGGGGCAATGTGAACAACAACAACCCCGTCACCATCGCCGCACAAATGAACATTAGCACCAACACGGTCAACATCACATCTCCAGTCAGCCTCCAGCACCCTGTCACCATCACTGGGCCCGTCAACATCGCCTCCGTGAACATCCCGGCAACCGCGCCTATGAATATCGCCCACCCTGTCGCGATCACAACCCCGATGCCCATGAATATAGCCGGGCCGCTCAACATCGCCATGAGGCCAGTGGATAGCATGCCTTTTCTCTCCCAAGTCTTGCCTTCATCCCCACCTTGGTAAAAAATTTAAAAAGAAAAAAATTAAATAAAAGATAAAAAGGAGGGAGCGAGGTGAACTGGCCAAGAAGAAAGGGAAAATGAAGTGAAACAAGAGACTCCTGTCCTCACAGCTGAACCACGGGCTCGGCTCTTTCTCACCTAGAACAGCGCTCACTTCTCCGAGCTCTGAAGTGAATATTTACACGAGCTGTGCACCCAGTAGGAGCTCACCAAGTCCCAGCTGTGTCCCAACCGAGGTTAAGTGACTGGCATGGGACGCAGAATAAGAGTAGAATTTGAGTAGGGTTTATCTTGAAATCAGGACAGCCGTAAGACTTAGTGTAGTCAGTTAGAACGATGAAACTGTGATTTGTATTATGACAAATGAGAGGATTCCTCATCCTCGAGGACTCCTTAGGAAAAACACATCAGTGCTTTTTGTAAAAGGGAGATGGGAAATGAACTGAAGCAATAACTATAAATTGCTGTATTTGATGTTTTACAAGTTCTCTCCCAAAGTCTCTGGGTGTTACTTTGTATATTGTTTTTTTGTTTTTGTTTTTGTTTTTTAACTATAGCCTGCTAATCACTATTTAATGTTATAGGAAATGAGTCTAGTAAAAGGGACAGCAGCTTCCACTTGCATGGAAGAATATTTTTTCACATTGCTATAGCATTTCTTTTGTATTCTCAGATAATAGGTATGCTCTTGAGGTACACTGACTAACTTGTACAGTTGACATAGTAATGTATTTTCCACGTCAGCATTTTAATTTTTGCTTTTAGCAAGTGGATATCAAGACACTGTCCTCTTGACTATGAAATATTTCTATTTTGTTTTTATATGTATGGACACACAAAGTTCTGTTTTTATTTTCCTAATTTGTAGTGTTAATTTTTTTTTGTTTTCTTCATGAATTCAGAATGGAACGAATCTTGCACTGAAAGAATATCCTGCATACAGGTGAACAGCAGTATTATTGAAGATCAAAGTGGCGTCTCGGTGTTTTTTGCAGCAACAGCAAGCACTTGAGCACCATCTAGTGGCTGATTTTGGAAAGCCTTGCAGTGAAGCTTTTTCAGGCTGTTACCCGTCACCATGGTGGTGACTAAACGTACTGCTCAAAAAAACAAACAAAAACAAAAGAACCGAGGGAACACTTGAACAATTTTTAACTTTTAAAATTTCGAATCCAACCCTCAAAGTGTTGGTGATTTTGATTACACAATGGATGTCAGTAATGATTTTCAAACTGAATGTTTCATTAATCAAGGTCTGATTTTAAGTGTCACCTTATTTTCATTTTTAAAGCAGCATACTTTTGGCTGACTCTTCTGCACACTCTTACTTTTTTTTTTTTTTTCTTTCTTTTTTTTCTGTTACATCCCCAACCATATGCTAAGGATGCTTCGCTCAGGAAACGTATAGAAAAGCCCCATTACTCATGAACGCGGTTCTTTTTATACTGATATCTACCACGTGTCATGATTCCTCTCCATGTAACTTTTTGGATTCCCTAAAAGATTTGGCATCGTGGGGTTTGACTTCAGTGAGGAAGAAGTTGTCCAAGACTTTTTGTTTTGTTTTTAATAGCCGTCCATTTAAAATGATAAATGACTGTACAATGGAATACATGCTGTTTACCTTTTTAAATTTCCTTTAAAGTCTCAGTCTGCATAGGTACAGTATGTGGCTGGGAACTGTTTAATCAAATGCAAGTTTGTGTCCACTGAAACAACAGGACGAGACTGACAATGCATGACCCTGAACACTGTAGCTGTTGACCTGTTTTTTTTTTTTGTTTGTTTTTAGTGAATGCCATGGTATTTCAGCAGTGTTTCAGCTCTTCTGAGTTGACAGTTTATACTGAAAAATGCAATATGCATGTTTGTCTTTTTTTTTTTTTTTTTTTTCCCCAAGTTTTGTTTTAAACAAAATATTAGTCTAGCGTTTTTGTTTTTTTTATTTTTGTTATATTTACGTAGATACACTATAATAGCCTGTTTGCCAAATTTGAAACAATAATGATGTGATAAACTGAATATTTCTGGTGGAATTGAACATCTCTTTATTTTTAAGGAAAATGGTTAATTGGAAATTCCAGGACACTTGTGAAAGCAGTTGAATGTATATCTTTGTACAAAACTATTTTAGTTCCAAGGATAAGGTAGTTACAATAGATGTGAAAGATAACCTTTTTTATAAATTTTTTGTATTAGAACATTAACATTGATAATTTTGTATATATGAGACACTAGGCTTTCTGACTAGCAGAAAGGTCAAACATTCCTACATTTTTTTTTAAATGTACGTTTGTCAGATTATTACATAAACATGCGCAATGTTATGTGCCTTTTATTTGGGTTGTCTAAATAAAAGAAAACTATCAAATGTGTTTATGTATTAAGTATAGTTCAAAGTTAAGACAGCACTGTAACTACAAACATATCAGGAGCTTAATGAAACTTATAACCCTCCGTGCTGCTGATTATCCTTTCCTTTTCACTCGCCACACCCAGGACTAATTATTGCTAGACCTGTTGAATCAAGAAATCACTTAAATAGAACCTGTTGGACAAAGTACAGTAGGCTAAAGAATCTAACAACAACAACCAAAAAAAAACCCAACATGCCATGATCTAAAGAAACAAACAAAAACATTGACATGTATTAGTCTGGAAAAGGCCACAAACTCGTTCCTAAACCTTTGGGGAGATTTATTGTCCCTGGAACAGTGGTGAACGTTCCCAGTAGTCGGCAGCCTACCAAAATTACTCCCAAGAGCACATCGCCGACTCATCCAGGAAATCAGAAAAGAACCCAGAGCAGCGTCTGAACTGCAGGCCTCACTTGTCTCAGTTAAGGTCAGAACATCTTGATGGTCAGAGTCTGTTGAGAAAATATTCTGATTATTCTGACTAGACAAAAATGTAACTTTTTGGATTGCCTCCCGTTACACGGGGGGTCAAACTAACACAGCATTTAATTAAAAATTAAAAGAACATCATAACAACAAACGCACGGTCTCTGAATTAAAAGAACTCAGCAAATAAGAGGGGGGCAGAATTCCTCCATGACAAACATCTAATTGCAGTTTTTGCTGCCAAAGGTGGCACAATGACTTTAGGTTTAGGGGGCAGTTACTTTGTTAGCTAGTGCCAGGTAGGTTTGGGTAGTTTTTTCCCTTAATAAATAAAATCATTTAAAAACTGCAGATGAACAGTACCTAAAGGTCACATCGTTAAGAAATAGGAAAAAGAGAGATTAAAGATTCATCTGTCCCTTAAGTTGATCCATCTACTGTTCACTGAAGCCTCATCAGAAATGGCTTCGGTGGAAGAGTGGCTCATTCACTCATTAGCGCTTCATCAGCATTCACCATTGTTAAAGAAGGGAAATGGGGCAGAGGTAGGCCAGAAGAGCTGTATTAAATATAGACATTTGAGCTTGAGATTGTACAAACTCTGTTTTCCACATATATTTGCTCATGTTTTAGTAAACCTATTCCCCATTTTCCTAGCAGCATATAAGAAAATGTGGGCCTGAGCTTTATAGCCTCAGCTAGTTTCCCTAGATTTGATTAGCATACACACAGTAGCTGTGCACACAATGACAAAGTTGTTTATCCGTTCTAAATGTTTCTCAGAGTTGCATTCATGTTTGAAAGAGTTTAAATCTAATATTCCACAAAATAATAAAGGTTTCTGAATTAAGCAAGAATGTAGATTTGTATAAACCTTTTGTGTAACATATATTAACATTTGCAAGCCACTGGAACTCTATATACTTTAAGTGAAATAAGATTTTGAATATTTTTAAAATAATAGTTTATCTAAAAAGAAAAAAATAGTTGAAGGATGACTCCAAACAAGGTCAGACTGGATAATAACTCAACTGTGTCACAGCCAACAAAATTCAAACCAGACCAGCTGCAGTACTGTACTTATGCTTACTGTTGGTAACTTATTATGTGTTCTCACTGTGATGTGCTGTAAGAACGGTTTTGACTGTTAGAACAGCTCTTTCTGAAACAGACTGGCCTTCACATGTTGGACGCACAAACACACACACACAAAATCATGTTTCATTCTTAGATAATGTATTCTTTGCATTGCTAGCTGAACTGACTGAATTGGGTAAACTGTTCCACCAGCATGATTACCAAGCAGGAAACAAACCGAGAGGCTGGTTGGAGCAGGTGCTGTTAATCAACCATGAAAGCCATCAGCCCAACACATGCTCTGTTCAAGTGTTTAATGTCCACTGCTGGTGTGTGTGAAACACAGACTTTTAATGTTATTGATAATGACTGCTTATGAGTATGCATATCCTTTCATGAGATCTAATTTTCTTGATTTTATCCAATGGAAGTTCTTTAACACTCTTTTTAACAGATGTCCAGCAGATGGTGGTGTTGGCCACTGTGTGGAATGCTGTCTTACTTCTTTATTGACGTTGTGATTCATGCAATCACATCAAACACTGTGTACATAGGTCTGTATTTGAAAACATTGTTTTAAAATTACATTTATTTACCAAACTGACAGCCAGAGTGATAGTAGCTGGTTTTTGTTTTGCTTTATTTTATTTTGCACATTTTTCTTACATTTAGTTTTGTTTCAATTAGTTCGCAGGGTGAGTTTTCTTATTTTAGTTCCCATTTTTTTAAGTGTTCAGTTTACTTTTATTATTTTCAGTATTAGTTTAAATTCCATTTATAAGGGACTAAAAGTGAAGGTATTTCCTATACATTTGTTCTTTGTTCTTTTAGTTAGTTTCCTAAGTGCATCATACCATTTGAGTGTGTTTTTCTGGCACTGTAAAACACAGTTTTCTATGACCCTCGATTAATCGAAATGCTGTTGATGGACATATTTAAGAACTGTAAAATTAGTTCTTAAAATGGTTCCTGAATTTGAATAATTCTCACTGATTCTTTCAAAATAAAATGGAGCAACTGAAATTCACCTCTTAGCTAATGTAAAATGTTGGTATGTATAGTTAGTTTTTAAAAAAAAAAATCAACAAAAGCAAAGCATTTTTCAGAGTACCAAAGCAGATTTATGACAGTCACCTTTTTTTTAACTGACCCAAAGTTTTGAATGCAGTATTTATAACTAAAGTAATGAAAGTAGGAAGCACACAGAAGACTGTATTTCTGGATAAATAAGAGCTAAAAACTAAAAGGTTTCCACTGGGAAGTAAATACCAGTAAAAACAGCAATCAGTGATGATCAAATTATTTAAAACCTGCTTTCTGTAAATAACAAAAGACTGGAAAGTTACAAAATTCTTAAGAATGAGTTTCCCACCCGTGGAACATTTCACAACTAATTATCCTAAATAGAAACAGGACTGGGCGAAATAACAGAGGAGCTCCCAGAGCTTTTCTAAAGTAAAGCTGTGGGTCATCAAGTTGTGAAGGCTTTGTGGGCACATAGGCCAACAATTTAAAATTCTTAATGACGCTTAATGATTTTATCATCTAAAGAAGCGTCATTAAAGAAGAAAAACTGGACTGAAAGGCTGAAAAAAACTCATACTGAATTGATCCTTTAAGTTACACTAAAACTGAAATATTTTTTAGGAAATCACAGAAGTTGCATTCATGGATAAAGAGAGAGACCATCTGGCTCAATAGCCAGCATCTGTGATGGTATCTGCGCACATGGTATGAGTAATTTGTAAATCTGCAAAGGTCCCATTAATCCTGTGAACAATATATACAGGTTTTGGAGCCACATATGCTGCCATTCAGGGAAGAACTTGCTTATTTCAACAAGACAATACCACACCACACTCTGCGGGACACAACAACAAAAAGACCTCATGGTGAAGGAGTTCAGGTGAACTCTCCTGCCTGTAATCCAGAAACTGTTATCTAAAAACATTTATGATTGGATAATTACTACTGGGCTAAATAAATAGCCTGACTTGTGATGTTTTGTCTCACTGATGTAAAAAATTGTGCAGAATTATAGAAAATTCTTAAGGGTTTACAAAGCTATGTGGACCTGGGATAAGTAGGTCCACAAACAGTGCAATGAGACAAGTGTCGTGTTAGCTGTGCTGCAGGCCTCGTGGGCAGGCTTTCCAGGTCAGAGGTCGCGGGTCTTAAATGCTGTTTTTGGGGCTCACCCTCTGAAGACCTGAAGGGATGGGAATCCTGGCTAGCAAAGGAGATGGAATTAGATTGTCTACGGTCTAATTTAATCTAAAGCCGGGAGCTCCGTGCCGCGTGTTGTGCCTTGACTGTCCAATAGTACAACAGTTTAAAGGGCTTAAGAGACCATGAGGCTGGGAAAGGATCATGTCGTCCTCAGCTCTCTGAGTTGTGTCAAGCGAGCTGACCGTTGTGCTTATGCTCCACTCAGATACTTGTGGGATTTCTTACATGATGTACAATCTTATTTCTGAGGTCAATGGCCAGTTATTTTCAAGTATCATTTAAAATGGAAACAAAATCTTGGGGAAAAAAACGGCAGCAAAAACAGAAAACAGAGAGGAAGAACAAATGGTGAGACTGATTTTTCTTTTTTTTTTGTTGTCCTTAGCAATACGGTACATGTTTCATGAGAAAGAGCGCACATGAGGTAAAAAAAATAAAAACTGCTCAAAATTCACCTTTTTGTCATATGTGAGTTTAATAGTTATGTCCCCTACAAAGACACAGGATCCAAAAATAGCTGTCATTATATTTCGAAACACAGAATAACCATCTTTTCCATTTTGCTCGGTGTGTTTGATTACTAGAGCATGTCCTCGAGAAGAGAAACTTTCAGCATACTAGTATTGTTTTCTTTGTAAAACTTGATTTTGAAGGCAGAGAGGAGCTGAAATTGGCGTGGTGTCCTGCTGGCATTTCATCATCAAATCTGTGCTGTTAATATAGCAAGGCTGAATTCACAAAGTGGTGGACCAACAACAACAATAGCTCGAGAGTGAGACTTTGTGTCTGTTTCATTCCATTACAGCAAGGCTTTTACATGTACTTCTAATATATTTGTGAGAAAGTTACAGTGCCGCCTTGAAAAGATAAGGCAATTCAACAAGCTGCTTAGTTTAATCAACTTACATTTTAATATTTCATATAGCAATCTAAGCTTGTCGGATTTCCTAGTAAGTCTCTTTTGTGTTTCAGTCGAGATTTAGGTCTGTCCAACTTGACATGTGTTGTTTGTGAGTAAATATTGATTAAACTTCAAACATAAAGAGACTACTTATCAGCGTCACCTTTCTCAACCCATGATTCTAAATTTAAAGAACTCGCTTATACTGTATGTGCATTAATAAACATAGCATTTTAATACAGCCAGGTTACAGATTATTTTAAGCCGAACTAAAGTTGTTCATTTTGACTTTAATAGCTTCTAGTGATTTGAGGCTGACTCAGTGGTGTACCAAAACAGCCAGAGTGAGGTTTCTAATCCCTCTACTTGGTTTTTCACTTCTGCACTGTCTGATTTCTATGTGCTACCATGTGCGGCTGATATTTGGACTGGTGTAATTTATTTATTTTTTTTGGCCAGTGTAAGACACAGTTACATTTTCCCTGCAAATCAGAAGAGGAGAAGAGACAGACAGATGGAGGAGAAGGAACACAGGGCTACATGAGAAGTGACTCACGTTCCATTGTATAATCAGGGTATATTAAAGGAAGGAACATCACACCCTCATTGCAGCAATAAGCCATGTGTACTGCTACTTAACGGTTGTGGAAACCTGCAAATTCATCCCACCCCCACAGATATAATATGCACTGTCCTGATATGAGGACAGACAACCTACCTCAGCTTCGACTTTGCAGTAACAAATTGTTATTCCTTCATTTCTGCCTCGATGCATCCTATGGCTTTCGATGCTCTGTGAGGATGACAATAAAATCACTTTTTAGTCTCATTTGTGCCAAATATGCATATAAAAATGTACTAAATATGCACATATCATTTATTCTCTGGGTGTAAAGCTCATTTTTACTCAAAGTACACCTTGTATATTTCACTATGCAGTTATGATGTCACCTACAGTCTGTGAGCTTGATCTGATGAGCTGAGGATTCAGCACTGATTCACAGTCTTTAAATAAATGTAAATACAAGGAATATGGGAATATACTAGTCGGCACTCTTGTAATCATATTGCTAAATTTCCTATCCAAATAGTTCTTCTGGTGCATCAGCTTTGCTCCACACAGTATAATGACAGTGTATGGAGCTGCAAGTGAGGTGAAAGGTGGTGATTATTCTTGGTGTCCAAAGCTACTCTAGAATTGCCCTGCCTCTCTGTACGGATCTGCAATCAGAATAGAAAAAGTGGGAGTATGCTGAGGCCTGGATGTCCTCGTAGCACCACAGCAGTATATTTTGCATTATTTTGCAGTTCCTTTATTATCTGCTTTGCTGCCAAAAAGCGATTTCCACTATTTGCTCAAATGACCTGCTGGCCTATAATCTGTCAAACATATCTATCGTGAATGGTGTCAAGTCATTTTGAAACACAAAGATCATTCCTGTTACAAGGTAGGACCTATACAAAGTCATTTACATAATCTTTACTTATCCAGGTAT